CAGTATATAACTTCACTGTATATAGGAAAAGAATTGGTTTAATGATATTAGTATAAAATTTTTTCCTGACTGCAAGAGTTAACCGTCACAAAACCTTGAGGAAAGATGTGTTTGACAGGAGGGGAGGAGAGGCAAGATGAGAGAGACAGTGGGGGGAAAGGCCTTACGAGTTAAAGCTACATGGAGGAACCTTTTTTTAAACTCTATTATTGACACAGTCCTGTTAGTGACAGTAGGTGAGGCTGATCTGAGCAGGATACCCTTTGCAAATCCTGGCTTTTCAAAGGAACCTCTGGTTTTGAGATAATGGAAGCTCAGAACTCCCTGTCATGGAACATAATGTGAAATTGATTTTGCAAGGCTTTATCTACGCAAAGTTGCACTGGTTTAATTAAAGGTGTGTTTTTAAATCAATTCTGTTAAACCAGTCCAAGCTCCTGTGTGGACACTATGAAATCGATTTGAAACTGTCTTATGTCAACTAACCTTAATGTGGCAAAGAACCAACTTACACTGAACAGGCACCAATTTTTGCTGATCCAAAAATAGGGTGAAAAATAAATCTTATTTAAAATGGTAAGATTTTGATGAATATCTCTGTTTCTGCCCTAGCTACTCCAAGCTATGCTGGCCTCCAGTAGCCTAGTCCACCTGTTTAGCAAGGAGATGAACTCGCTTCTTTGCATCTGTGTATTTATGGCCTTTTGACAGATACACATCCTTGAGAAAGGATACAGAGTAAAGCACTGTGAAATGAGGAAGTCTAAAACCAAAAGGTGGCAGGTGTAAGGAGAAAGCAGCGATGAATTGTAGAGACCACCCTCCTTTTCTGTTTATGTTCTTTCTGTAATGCAGAAAGGAGATAAGCAATGAGCCTCCGTCATGATCAGTAAAAGCTCTCTCATGCTGTAGTTTTGGGGAGCAGCTTAAATAACTTACGGTTAGTGCAGGGGTGCACATGAAATCAGGCCAATGTTATCCTGTCAGTCTATCGTTGCTGGAACCAAGCCAAAATCTCTCCTTTCTTAAGGGTCTGGCAGGGGATAGAAAGGATTTTGAAGACCTACTGCAGGCTGGCTAGCTGTGTGGAGGTTTCCCCGAGTTTAAGGATTTCTGTGCAATCCTTTCCAATCATCCACACTCCACTAGGCCGCAAATGAAGTTCTGCATTGGAGGCCACAGCATACAGAAACGTATCCGCGTTATTTCCACACCTGAGAAACACACCTGAGGAAATGGGCAGTGAACTTGATACCAATGGGCCGCTACGGACACGTCTGTATTTGCTCCTGTTCTACAGGCCCAGCTAGACACAAAAGCAGCAGCCATGCTGCTACATCCAAGAGCCAGGGCCTGCTCCAGGCAACAAGAGCCTTCGCACGTGCCATCACAGGAACAGGGCCAGCTGTGCGACGTTTCCCTGCTGACATTCAACCAAAGCCTTTTCAGCGATGAGAGCCAAAGCATCTCAGCTGCTCCCAGAAGGAGAACAAAAGGGCACAATCCTGCAAAGTATGGTGTTCCCCCATATATTACGGTGTTCTCCCCGTATATTGGGAGCTAAAGATACTCAGTAGCTCAGGTGGGTAGCCCTCATGCAGAGTTGAGCAGCGGGTGACTAAGTACCAGCCTGTCGTTGCTTAAAGATGATTTTTCAGCCTTTACCCTTTGTGTCAGTTATGTTGCCCCAAAAACCCATGCATGAAGCCAGTAGGAATTAAAACTACATAGATGTGCTTAGATTGTGAACTATAGCCCTAATTACTGACAATGGTGGCCCTAATTATTAAGTTTTATTTTAAAGCACCTAAAACTATGCATGACAGTAAGTGGTCTGTATCCTTGCACTCCTCTGAAGTGCTGCTAATGGGTAATGTGCTTCTTTACTTTCTGTTCAGTTCAACAGATTTATTTTCAGAGTGAATCCTGTGTGAATTTCTCCTGAATCAAACTCTTTCCCTGGTGAGACTATATAATCCTCCCGTCTTGTTAGAGCAAAAATCATCTATGAGACTTCATTCCAAACAAATCCCCTGCCAAACTATTTCTTCCTTTTCATTTGGACAGTTACCCTTCTGATAATTTATAGGGAAAAAATTCTTTCGTAGTCGAGTTCAACCTTGTAAAGAGGACAGTATCAGACAGCAGCATAAACGAAGAGATTCACACCCTTGGCAGTGCTAGAATATATTGGGCAATTTTTCATTGCATATGGAGGAAAAACAGCAATACTGGAGTAGCTCAATGGAAAAAAGCCCTCAAAGATATGGCTAGTTATGGTTCACTCTGATTATAAACAATTTCCATACATAACAAGACTTTTCCAGATGCAGCTACAGTATTTTAAGTCCCCCTTCCCTGCCACTATTAATAAACTGCACCCTAATGTATTGAATCTACTGGCATTAGTCATGACTACATCCACCGTCTGTAACGGGATGCCATTCATCAGCTTGGTAAGCTCAAAATTAAGTGATTTTCCTGGAAACTGTTTTTCAGCAGCATCATTTGATCTGCTGTAGTTAAAAAGCCATGTCATTGGTTGCATTATAAATTCCATTTTACAGTCATCTTTTTTTTAAAAGAAATTAATTGTAGCTTTCCTCTAGGCTTAATGCTGGTATAAAAGGTTTTGGCTGATGAGCAAATCTTTTCCAAAGACAAGAATTTTCAATTCTATCATTTTTAAATAACAGTGGCATAAAAAACCTCACAGAAACAAACTTGTTTAAGTCAGATACACAAATGAAACTTGACAAGTGATTAGCTCCTTCTGGGAATTAATTGTTTTCTACATTCTAGGGGAAAAAATGTCATCAGTGACTTTGGAAGTGGCCTGAAGCATGGGCTTTGGAAGTCTAATACTACAAATACCAGTTTAAACAATTACATATTTAAGCAACTGTTATAACATGGAGTTGGCATGACAAAGCGCAAACTTCAAAAAACCATCATTTCTTGCAAAATGCAAGCAGCATGCACACTTGTAAAAACCCAGCAATGTACTAGTAATTGTATTAGTCATCCTGAGGGACCTGCATCAGTGAATACATTAGTTCCTACCTTTAAAACTTAAGCATGATATATAGAGCCTGTAGGGCAGTGCACACTTGTGCATGCCCAAAAGAGAAATTGGTGCTTGCCTTACAGGGTGGAAGTAATTTAAATGACTTGTGCTGGTTGTCCTCCTCCCTGCTCTTTCTATCAGATGAGAGAATGAGAAGGCATCTTTTTTCTGCTGGCTTCTGCTTTGAGAAGCCAGAGTTAAAACTGAATCTGTACCGTTATGTTTCTCACTGGCTATGTCAGAGTTACATGACAGTAAAACCCACTTACACCTGTTCCTCTGATTTCTCACATTCTAGTTCCCAAGGAAAGGAAATTTAGCACTGTGTACTGGATTGGAGATGGAGTGCAATTTGGACAACTTCCTCAACTGGACAAATGGATGCTATCACATACAGGGGCAGATAGGGGCTATGTCAGTTGTAACCTGCTCCTGGAAATGGCTGGGGATGGGCTGCTGGTGATCATTATTTGCTTCCTAGACCACATGGCAGGGAAAATTTTTTAAAATAATCTGATGACATCATCTTGGATGTATTAAAAGTTAACAGAGTGTTTCAGAGGTGACAGCTTCAAGTCTGCCTATAGAACAGACCCCACAAGTTCTTAGGCAGTGCATCTTCTCACACGATGAAACCGAATTATCTCACAAATTCTCATACACTCCTATGAGAATTTTAGCCCAACCCTGCAGATAAATCTTACATATTTTTCCTCTGTGAAGTAATATATTTATGCTACTTTTATTTTGTGTTCAAATCCACTGAATTGTAAACTTGTGGGAAACTACTTGCTGTAGGCATCTTATCATCCCATATTAGAGTTCAAGTATGTGAGAATCGTTCACAAGAATAAACTCCTTAAGGTCTGAGCTAAAAGGCAGAGAAAAGTGGACAAAGGACATTCATTTTTACACCCTAACAATTAAAATATTGTTATTTTATTTTATTTATTTTATTATATTAAAATATAAGCAGATTTTACCTGGTCTCAAATCCTCCCTCACATTACACAAGGAACCCAGGTTGATAAGTCTCTGTTCATTCAAACATATGATTTCGATGAGGAGTGGTGCGTTCTTGAGACTTTTCAACAAAACTAAGCTTTTGCAGTCAGGCATAATACTACCCTTAATTTTGGGCATGAGAGCAATTTCTGCCTTTTTTTTTTTTTTTTTACACTTAGTAAACTGACTCATCTCACAAGGAAGACAGGATGTGCAGTGCAATATGCTGCGTTCCTAAGCATTTGCCAGGGTGTAGTGGTCATGACATTTAAAACAAAGATGGTTAACAGGGAGTAACAGGTCACTCTAGCATGAAATGAAGAAACAGAAGTTGACTGAAAAAAAAAAGAAAAAAGAGAGACGACAAATTCATATGAAAAATAATGAGGATTTAGAGATAGCCTCCAGCTAGTGGGAAACGGTTCAGGCACCACAGAATAAATTTTATAGCCCTACGGGCCTCTCTCAAGATTTGCGCACTTCCTCTCCATGATGAATACTATTATTCCAAGAAATAGTGCTTGTAGAACTTGATTTCTAAGCTAATATCGTGTTACAGCGTAACTGTGATTAGACAATCTGTGATGTAGAACTTTGGAAAAAAGCTATATTCTTCAACAGTGAAAGAAAAATATGGCAAGTTCTGGGAGAATGCTAGTGGACCTGTTTTTTGAATATACAGTTTTATGCAATTAGAATGAGGCAGAGATTTCCAGGAAAGGTTTTTATGTCTCACTCCTCATCCTGGTTACAGTCAGACAATGTGCTCACTGTAGAGATGATCCTTTCCATTCAGTATCTTCCCTCACACAGCAGCTGGCTTACTCGGCTGAGTAGTTAGTTTTCCTGTTCTGTGGTACAGGTAGCAGACAGATAAAGCCAACAGTGCAGAAGACATAATAATCGTATCATTAGACCTGACACTTACTTCGTACTCCTCTTTGAACCCATAGCCTTCTGCACACTTCATTTGGGTGATGTGCTGTAGCAAGTCAGCTACACGGATGGCTGGATGAAGCTGTCCGGTCTGGTAGGGCACATCCACTGGATCTCGCTTCTTGTAGGTGTGGGATTGGACCAGGCTGCTTGTGTCACTGACCATCGTATGGGTTTCATCTAGAAAAAGAGTATCTCATAATGTACTGACTCATTTTCACTTATTAGTAGAAATATAAATTACACAGATATCTAGAGGAATGGCAGAAATCTTACACCATCAGTATCGCTTCTGTCTGTGAAGGCTACACCAGAAGAACAGTAAATCCATGGAGCAGTTTACACAGGGAAATTGCAAGACTGATTGGAATGAGGCAAAGTCCATGGTTCTACAATGGAAGCATTGCAGAGCAGTCCGAACTCTAATATTGTTTTAAATATCACTAGCTGATTACAAACAGGTTTTAAATTAGGCATTTGGTTCTAAGCGGCATAGAAGTTTCATTCTGAAACTTCAACAAGTCCCATGGAATGAAATTGGACTTGTATTCTTCTTAGATTACTGAAGTGCTATATTTTACACTGCGAATTTAGAGCAAATGTTTGGAGTGAGCAAAATAAAAAGATGCACAAAATGGCTCATGGTTTCATCAAGCTAGGACTGCAATGGAAATGTAGATCTGATACAACATTTGGAGACAAACTACAAGAGGACAAATGCAAAGGATCATGTGATCAGGAAAAATGTCTTGACTGGCTGCTGAACATGCTTTAGGACCGTGATATATCATGAGCCATCGCATTAGGCATGGAATGTTATATGTCAACTGACATGCAAGCCAACAAACAGGAGAACCCAGTGGGCTGGTTAAAATTTTTATGAGACACATACTCTCCCAACCCTCCACATCTCTTCCATGGGGCAAATGGGCAACTTACCATTGATTGGCACTTTTAAGAAGATACATATCAGGAGAAAAAAAGAGGAGGAGAAAAAGGAAACAGGGCATAAGCAACAGTACTACATTAATAATTACAGGTAATTTTATGTTTGTAATTTAGTCTTTACAGAGTGATTTCCTAAATGAGTCAGATTCTGATCTCAGTTTCACAGTATAAATTAAATGTACTGAAACCAAGGTATCTTACTGTGAGTCAACTCACACAGATGCAACTGAGATGAAAACTTACACTTAGCAGTAAATAGATAGATGTGAAAGTGTGCTCTACCTAAGCAATATGACTTTCTTCCTGTTTAGATGAAATTTTAAAAATTTGCTCAGATTTGAAAAGAGAAAAAAACAACCTGAATTCTGAGGTCCAAGTGTCATCATAAATATTTTTTCTGTTTATCCAAATAATAATTCTCAAAGAGGTTTTGATTTTTAGCTGAAATTGTAGATGTGGTGCTGAGACTTATTCAAACTACTCCTCACTGGCTGTACTCCAAACATAGCAAGGGATTTATAAAAATACTATATTTATTAAAATATTATGTTGTAAAATATGTGGTACGAACGGGAAGCATTAAAACAATATTTCCATATTCATAAGTTAGATATATTATAGCGGAAAGTTCCACAAATACTCTGGATGAGAAGGTCCCAGATTCACCAAAAATACTACCACACCTCATTAAAGGTGAGATTCTGGTCTTAGTCGGACCATGGAAAATTGATGTTAAAGCCATAAAGCTCAATGAATCATATTTCAAGGACAATTTTAGGTTCTTTCAATTCACACTGATACTAAGACACAGGAAATCTGGTCCTCAGTAAGCATACAGTCAATATGAACTGTGCATTTAAACCTAAATCAAAAACAACAGAGAAAAATTTATGGGTATGAGTATGGGCATTTCACTATTTTTCCTGTCAGTTTGCTAAGCTGATCTTATGCAGAGGAATGGGATTCATTGTTTAGTTATAAAATTTGACAACTTTTGCCTAATGTGTGATAAAATTGTACTCCAGAGCACCTTGGGATGCATGGCATGAAGCGTGGTTATACAAGTGCAGGTACAGTATGTTGCTGTTGAAATGGCACCTGAAAACTACAAGGTGGCTAAGACACAAAAGACAAAAAAAGTATAGGAAGTTGATCGTGATTTTTTGGGTGGCTTCTTTCAATTTTAGAAACAGGTTGGAAAACTTGGGTTTTTTTTGCCAACTACAGAATTCCTTGTAACACAGACTGTTAGTAACCAAGATGAAATCAAAGTTATCACATAGCAGGGTTTTGTGCTATGAAAGCAGCAGTTTAATCCTTATGAATCTCTTTCTCGTGAGCTCCTTTGTTTTAGACTAATTTTCCTCTCTCCATTTCTTTATCTCTTACAGCTACATTTAAACTATTTTTCTCACTCTGAGAGTGATCTTTTAAGTTGTTTTAAATGAAGTGATTTCAATCTTTGGTTTACATGGTACATTAGGAGCCACTTATATTATAGTTTTTTTGCTTTGCCTTTGAGCACTGCAGCATGAGCTTTTCAGGCATAACAGTCCACTATTTTTCAGATAGTGAGCTCCTCCAGATGCAGTGTTTATGTGCAACGGGAAATTTGTTCAGCTTAAATTAACTACAGCTGCAGTTGTTATATTCTCCACTTATTCATTCCCATAGAGCTGTACAACATCTATTAAATAATGTATTTATTTACTAGTTATATGAACTCATGCCATGGAAGGTATCTGGAAACCCAGCCCATTATCTTTTCTGGGCTGAGACTCTTTTCCTTCTCCAACTGGACAAACACGATCTACTCTCATGCTCAGCAACTATAAATTTAGCCACTGTTATGTTAAGTGTTTTTTTTAACCTTGGGCTTTCACTTAAGTTATTAGGCTAAGTTTTCTCTCAAATCTAAGAAAATTTTCTCATATCTGAAACTGAGAAGTCAGACTGTTGCCTTTTGCATCATTTAAAGAGTTCACCACTAATTATCAGTCCTTTTTTTTTTTTCCACCTGGCTAAGAAGTTACTAGTTTGCATGAATAGTCCAAAGATCTTGCTGTACATAAATTTGGAAATGGTGTGTTGTGGCCTTTCTAGCAGATTTTGAAAATCAAACTCAACCATTCACCAGACCTGTACACTTCACTAGAGGTCACACTGAAAAGTTCATTTAGTTCTAACTACAGGCTTGACTGTGCAGTCTAACACAACTTCCTTGGACATTGGAAGACAGCAAGAGCAGGTATTAGTTGCAATTAAAACCCAGAATATTTTGTTAATAGTTATATTCCTCTACTGACTCAAGCACAGCTAATTTGATTTACCCCAGATAAAACACCATTCCTATTTAGACAGTCATGAAGACATGTTGGGAGACAAGATTTGGTCTGAACGGAACACCACTTATAAAAGGGTACTACATTTTTAACATATAAGGTTACAAAAATATTCATTTTCCATAGTGAAACAACTGGAAGATTTTCTGAGATGAGCAAGCACAGATTGCTGTAGTAGACCATAAAATATATATCTAAGTAATTCAAGATTTTACAGACTTAGTAAAAGCAAAGAATTTTTTATCCCAGTGTGTGTTTATCTGATATCTGTATTACTTGCTTAGAAATTATTTCTTGTGGAACAAAAAGCTAACAAATAATTTTACTATCATTATTATATAGCCAAGGATCACAAAAAAAAAATCAGAGAAACCATTAACTAAAACTTAATAATTCAGATAGGAAATCTCAAAGTTTTTCTCCTGATAATAGTATTTTTCTCCTTGCCCACCCACAAGGTCAGAAAGAACATCTACTGGATGAAGCGTTGAATGAATGCTAAAGCACACAAAAAAAATCTAACATCTCAGGCAGTTAAAAGGCACTGCAAATTTCATTTGCATGCAGATTGTTATATTGTTACAGTCACTACCATTACCTTCTTCCAGATTTACATAATGTATAAAAATGCACAAGTTACTTCTCCAAGTTATCACATTGAAACACACTGCGCTAAATATTCTTTCACAATAACAAATTTTCAAGATCACCTTCCTAAACTTCTATTTCTTATACGCTTCATTCTACTTTTACTTAAGCCTGTTTACCTTACAGTTTATGGGCAGGAATCAGTTAAGGGGTCTTATCTTTTTTACAGCAATTTGAAGAAAAAGGATGAGAAAAAAAGTATTTGTTGTAAAAAGAATGAGCATTGTAAAAAGAGTAAACAGATAGCCTTAACATTGGAGTTTGAATTCTTGCTACAGTGCACTATTGTATTTAGACTTATTATTTTTAAAAAAATCTCCCTGTTTATTTTAAAGTTAGTATGGGAAAGAGGTGTAAATGAATACAAGCCACAAAGCGGTTAGAATTACTTAAGCGTTGAAAATGCAACAGCGCCTCATGCTTCTTGTTTTATCACTGTGCAGAAACCTCTCTCTTTTTGACATTGGACAATAGCAGGTCTTCCTAAATTCCTAGTGGAAATGCTTTACGCTTTAACTGTATATTTTTAACCTACAGTTCTACTGTTTTATTTCGTTCCTGTGACACCTGATACATAATAAACTATATACTCTAAGTGTCATGTTATCATTTTACGGTTCAAGATACAGCTCTCTTCAGAAACTTCACTTTGACAAGCATGTCAGAAACTGTGCGGTATTGCGAGAAGAAATGATAGCTGGTGGATGGCCAAAACTGTATTTTGTCTGATTTTCTGTATCATGAATAGTCTAATTAGGAAAAAATGTTATTTTTAAGAAGTAACATCTTCAGTTCTGAGATAAAACAGAAAAAAAATGAGGAAAACTATTTCAATTGCTGCGATAATCAAATTCTTTTGTGTCACTCCAAATACATGCATAAACATTTCCTCGCAAATCCACTTGTTAAAATTATTTCTCTCTTTTCTCCTCTGACTTGCACTATGACTGTAGTAATCAAGCCTGATAACTGTACTTAGCATTCTCAGTGTAGCCAATCCCACCACCCCCACCTTTAGGATGAAACTCCAGCTTTTTGCATACTATTGTCTGTACCCCAAGAACTGTGACTTTCTAAATTACTTCAGCAATAAACTTTGATAAAGGGAAATGTTCTCACCTAAAATTGCAGTTGGCACAAATGGATCTGTCATACATCATAAGCAGGTCAATGCAGAAAAGGTAAAAAGAGAGAGAACAGTAAATGATTGATAAATGTTCCTGAGTTTTCTTTCAAAGAGCTATGGTAAGCAACCAGTATGCTGCTTATACATGTATTAAATTTCTATGTCAAGATGTATAATAACATAATTATATATGCTTTTATTATGAAAAGTTCTATATAGGGTGGAAACCAAGAAAAAAAATGGTTACCTGGGTAATAAGAATTAGGCACTGTTGTGCTCAATGTGTTAGTTTTCATTGTAAATGAAGATGGTGAAGATACAGCTGCAAAGAGAAATAAAGCTGGTTAGAGACAGAGAAGTGCTAAGTGCCTATTTAAGCTGAGTGATACAGCGTATGTGATTGACTTGGTTTAGAGTCCCTCTTGTTGTGTTTGTTGCACTGGAATCAGGACTTAGGGAAAACTGGGTGTGTCTAGTGAATAAAACAGCTCATTGAATTTGATCAATTCTCTAAAAAGAAATGTCATCAGAGAAAGTATTTTGATCGGTGATGACAAATATACATCTTAAATCATAAGATTAGCCTGAATACTGATGCCTGAATAAAGACATCACAACAACAACAGGCGTTTTTGACAGAAGCTTTGATCATTAATAAGCTTACTTAATAACACTGTAAAGACTATATGGAAATATTCTACTACAGTTCATTTTTTTCCTCTCCTGTTTTTTTGATTTGTTCAGACAGGTGGATAATATGTACACAGATACTATTATGCCCTGAATACTTCTCTTTGTTCAACAATGGCTTTCAGGGACTGATATATAGTCCAATACTCACATTGGTATTTAATCATTTAACCATTTGCAAAACCTATGGGAAAGCCCAATGCAACAAATTGAGTTCTGTTAGTTCGCTAGCATACAAAGATCATGTGAATTACTGTTGTAAGCACAGATACAGTCAACAGGTGGGAGTTAATCACAACATTTTACAGGATGTTCAGCCAAAGAGTCATTCAAGGCTTTTAAGCAAAGCTCATTGCAAATTCAGCCTTAGTTGCTTGTTTACACAGCTCAAATTCAGTTGGATCAGTGAATGTAAGCACATTCTGGATACCTATAAACAGACTAACATGAATTTGTGAAAGGAAAGTAGAACTGAGGAAAAGAGGATCTGCTGGATGAGAAGGAGCAAGATTACTCCTGCTGGCTTTCATCTTTTTTTTTTTTTTTTTTTTGTTGATCTTCTAGGGTATACAGTTGTCAGTCCTTGTTAAGATGGAGCTACCTGAAAACTGGCTTAAATAATGCTGGCAGTTATCACTTATCCTATAAATCAATATATCTGAGACCACTTTCCTTTGATTATGTCTCCTGAATCACTGGATGGAAAGAACAAAATGGTATTCCTTTTGGGTATTCCTTTGTAGAGATTAGTTGAGGTCAGGGCTGCTGTAGCTAATAAAATTGGCCAGATAGATACAGAATGCAGCCAGGATAATAAACTGTCATAGGAATTAGGAAGGTTCTAAACCTCTTGAGTATAAGGCCTTACACAAAGGTTATTCCGAAAAACTGTCAGACAGCTGCTTCTGGTGACCAAATATCTTATGGAAAGTCTAATTAGAGGTTGTAGCCCTGTAGCGATATAAAATACTTGCTATGCCAATAATTTCAAATTGGTTTAAGGTAGTTTACATCAAGAGGGTTTAGCCCCAGGAACTCATTGCAGCTTCTTTGGTTGTTGTGACCATTCAGTAACACCACTGGAAAACTACATCATAATGATGGAAGATGAAGTCAAACCTCTTGATCTCTTCACAGAAGTAAACAATCTCATTAACTGCAATGGTACAATCTCACCAGAAAGGCAAGTCAGATTTTGAAAGATCTATTTCAAAGCTATTTATTTCAAAAGTAACTCAAACAAAAACTAACACTGCAAATTCTTAGCATAATGCTGCTGAGAGAAGTCTCACTGTATAAACCTCACAGAGTGTAAAATTCAGCTAGTCAAAGATAAGTTACTTAGCATATTATTAAAGAGTGGGAGTTGGGCCTTGCATACTGTTAGTACTTGAAACAAAATTCAATCTTTGTCAAATTCTGCAGATGTTCAAAAACACTGGTATACAAGAAAAACTGAGGTTCCTTAAGATGTACAAAAACCAAGAAAGTTTTTTGATCATAGTCATTCCTTTTTCATTCTTTTTAACAATTATAAAAACCTACTCTTTTTCCTGGTCTTTGCTTAGTGCTAACCTCCAGAGTGAGCCCTTGACTAAAATTCTAATACAGGAAATTTTATATCCCAAATTATATTTGTTTTCAGGGTAGATCCAGGATATTAGAGAATCTCTTATGAAATTGAAGAACAAGTAATTTCACTGAGTTCTTCCTTTGCACAAGCAACAGAAAGAGCATCATCTAGAATTGAAAATAAGACGACAGTCAGATCACCATTATTAAGTTATGACATTCAAAAATAAATTTTGCCTACAAAAAAAGAAGTGAGCAGGGGAAGCATTTGAAGGACTTGGGACAGCATGAGGGATATAAAATTTTTAAGATAATAGTGATTGGAGAAAAGTAAAACTACAGCTGTTTCAGTAATGTCTTTGCTGTTCTGCAGAAGAAAAGGATGGACAGAAAAAAGCTCAATTATCCTTATTATTTTTAAAGAAGTCTATTCTTGATGTCTGACTGTCTTGCTCATTCGAATACACACTGTAATGTGCTGCACAGTGGGAAACTCTGGGTCCCATGGATTTTCCATGACTGAGTAATGAGGAATATCTTAAAAACCATTTGCACCTTTCTTCCACCTTCAAAAAAAAAGAAAAGAAAAAACTTACATCTCCCATTTAGATTGTGCGTGTCCATGAAAGAGAAAGCTTCGTCACAGTTGGTGCCTTGCTCAGTGTAGCTTTTATCCATTGAATTCACCATCACTGTCATTTCCTGTCGTGTACTACTCAATGTCTCTTTCCGCTTTTTAGCCAATTTTCTTAAGAAATGAATGTTGAGGAAAAAAAAGGAAAAAAACAACACTCAGTGAGCAGACATAGTCTTCATGTTGTTTAGATCAGTATTCTGGTTTGTAAGCACATTATAAAGTAATATATCTACAATTTTTCCTGCATTTCTGGAAACTCAAAATTGATTTCACACTCATGCCTTTCAACGGCATCTGATAATCAAAGGATAGTCGCCAATGCCCTGACTTAAGGTGAACAGCACCTTAATCCATGGGGACTGCCACTGAATTAAAGGGGACTACTTGGATACAAAGGTGATGGTAAGCTACTGTATCAGAGGCTACATCTGTTTAAATACATAAATAAAAATGATAGGAAAGAAGATTTCACTGGAACTGACAAATCACTAACAATTTTTACTTCACGTGTGTAAAACTGTCTGGAGCTCTTTCACCGAGACACTATAAAATACAGTTAATGGATTTATATCATACAGTACAGTGTATTTTTGATCTCTTAACACACTTTGCACAAGCAAGCGACATTTCAAATTGACTTGCATTTCTAAAGACTATTTTCTGTCACACTTGATTTCAGGAGAATTAGTCATAAGAGTTATTTGCTTCTCAGCAGGAGTGGTCTGTCAGAGACAAGATCTTCACCGAATCACAGAATCATTAAGGTTGGA